AATAATTCATATCAAATATAATATAAATAAATAAATAAGAAAAAACTAAAAAAATTAATAATTTATATTAATTAATATATATATATATATATATATTTAAATAAGAAAAAAACAAAAGGTAAAAAAAATGATAAAAAAAAACAAAATGATTGAAATAGGAGTTAAAGATGGCCTTAGTACATCCATTAGCCTTCCCCTTAATTGTTTAGTTATTCCAAATGTTAGGTATTGATCTGACGGGTGGGAAGGTACCTTCACCCAGTGAAGCAGCACAACCCGTGTGTTTAGCATACCCTCAATCACTTGTGTACTAGCAGCAGTATACTAGCATCATGTACGAAGAAAGAAAAAAAAGAAAGACAAAGATGGTGACTGGCAAAATTTAATCAAGTGGTCATTCTTCTTTGCTCCTTCACCAACTATTCTTGCCATTTCCCCCCTTTACCCTTTTTTCTACCTTTTTAGGGTTTTTAGCTCTCAATTTTTCCCTTTTATGCTTCAATTCATCCATCTTCCTACTTGATTCTGTAAGTCATTTCTCAATCCACCTTTCAATTCTCTTGTTTTACTGCTTAATTTGATCATATCTTTGTATCTGCTCCGTTTCGGGATTTCTATGGCTTCTGTGCTCTCAATTTTGATGTTTACCTGCTCAAATTTTAGCTAATTTTGAGATGTCTTACTGCAGTTCGGTTTGTGGATTTAGTTCGATGATTTGTTATGCGTTTGTGAATTTGTTGGTTTAATTTTAGTTGATTCGATCTTAGTTGTGGAAATACAAGTGTTCTTGATCTCTGTATGTTTCCCTAAATTTAAGCGATATCTGTAAGTAAAAAAGATTAGCATAAGCTTGAAACCTGCATCGCCTCCGATTGCAAGTGTGTAGTGGATCTTATGCTACCAAAAAGAAAGTAGATGTACTGAGGGAACTGTCCTTTTGGATAGAGCTCAGTTCTACTTGCATTTTAGGGAAATTATCACCAATAGTCGTTATGATCGACGAATTTCACTTCTTAGCCATTTTTCTTCCATTTTCACCATTTTATCGGTACCTCTGCAAGTGACCTTCAGGGGCACTTTTCTAAAAACAATTCAAGTGCTACTCCTCTTACCAAACTCAAGTTTCAAACTTGCGGAAGGGGTGAAAGCTCATTAAGGGTTCCTTCCTCTTACCGCCGTTTTAGCCATCAATTATGACACTGGGGAAGCCCAGTCAACCGATAGGTGGGGGGGGGGGGGGGGGGGGGGGGGGGGGGAATTCCGTTCACTTGTTTAACTGCTAAGAAGAATTTTATCTTTCGACTGGGAACTGCTTACCTTTGGTGCTTTGTATTTTTATATATAATCTCTGATAGGTTCCTGTCAAGTCTCCATTTTCAGAAAACAAGCCATGGATGACAAGCCACGTCCACTCCTCCTAGATCTTCAAGTATGAAAAACTCATAGATTAGTTTTTTTTAAATTCTTCTCCACAAGTTGCAGTCTGGGCATTTCCTGAGGTATTGACTTTTTGGGTGAATTGAACCGCGTAAAACGGCTATTACATTGATTTTCCTACATTTTATCCTGGACCTTTATACTTGGTGTGACCGGTTTGGTTGGATTTGATAATGTAAAATAGGTCACAGAAACAGTCGTTGTACTCTTTTGGATATAGGTTGGTTGCTTGCATACCCCAGACCATATAGGGATTTGTCTAATTCTACTTTTCTGGTACCAGTTGTTGAGGAGCCTATGCATGTAGGACAGGTATGCTTACCTCCTACCCTCAAGGAGGTTGGACTCTATCACTAATCCTGGGATCGCTCGGCCAATGACCCTTTGTTGGATAAGTAACTAGAAGGATTTAGGGGTGGTTTAGTTGGTTTTTCATTAAGTCATGTATGGATAAAGCTGTCTATACAGATTGGGGAGGTTTTGTTTCAGAAGGATTTTTCATAAATTGGAGGAGCGTGTTTTCTAAAAAAACTTGGGGGGGGGGGGTTTGGAAAAAATTTGTTTTTTGCATAAAGCTCCCCTTTTGAAGCTTACCGAACTTGGTTGTTTGCATATAGCTCCCCTCTCTGAATAAGCCACTTTATATATCATTAAGCCACTGCTAAACAGTCATGTATAGCTGGCTGAATAAGCTGTGTCCTATTAAGCTCATTAAGCTGCTAACAAACAAGCCCTTAGTTTTACAGGGTTCAAGTCCGTAAGTTGTTAATCTATGCATGTTTGTTCTTAAGCCAGGTACGGAGCTTAAGTTCGGCAGGGATCAAAAATGAAAGAAAAGGACGGAATTCTGTGTCGAAAAGGCATTTGCACTCTCGTAGTACAACGGTATAATTTTAAAAATGGTCTTTTGATTCACTTTCATCGCATTTTTCCTTACGACAATGGTTTTTATCACAGTTCTTGAAGCTTCAGTGGCTTTTTGGTCCTTAGGACAGTTTTGACTAAATACTTCATGAAAATCTGAGGTTAATTACCAGAAGTTGTAGCTTAGTCGCATTTACCGATGGATGACGGCGGGCATCGTGAAAACGGGCGGCAAAAGCAACCACAGGGTCAATGGTTAATGCAGCACCAGCCTTCGATGAAGCAGATAATGACGATCATGGCTGAACGGGATGCCGCCATTCAAGAACGGAACTTAGCGATGTCGGAGAAAAAGACTGCCCTGGCCGAGCGGGATATGGCGCTCCTCCAACGGGATTCAGCGGTTGCAGAACGGAATAGCGCCATTATGGAACGGGATAACGCCATCGCCACTCTGCAGTACAGAGAGAACTCTATGAACAGTGGCAATAATACGTCTTCTTCATGCCCGCCAGGATGTCAAATCTCGCGGAACGTAAAACACGTACACCACCCACAGCAATACCAACAAGAAGAAATGGGTGGTGGCGGAGGCAGTGGTGGTCGTGGCGTTGATCCGCTTCCAGTATCTCCAGCAGCACCAGAGCCTGCCAAGTCCAGGCGGACAAAACGCACAAAGGACATGAAATCAGTAACCGATAAGAAGACATCAAGAGCATCTAGAAAGGTGAAACTGGAATGTGATGATCTGAATAAGGCCATGTATGAAGACACCCATGACTGGAGCGGTGGCGGCGGCGGTGATAGCGGTGGTGGTGTCGATGATCTCAACCATGAACTGAAGCCAGAATGGAAGGATCAAGATCTTGGGTTGAACCAAGTTGCGTTCGATGATTCATCTATGCCCATACCGGTTTGCTCATGCACCGGAGTTTTTAGGGCGTGTTACAAGTGGGGAAACGGTGGCTGGCAATCATCGTGCTGTACAACAACTATGTCGATGTACCCACTTCCTTCACTTCCTAATAAACGACATGCTCGGGTTGGTGGTAGAAAGATGAGTGGAAATGTATTCAATAAGCTCATAAATCGACTTGCTGCAGAAGGCCATGATCTGTCGAATCCGGTTGATCTGAAGGAGCATTGGGCCAAGCACGGAACGAATCGATATATCACCATCAAGTAAATGTGAATGTGTTGTAGATTGTTGTTTGGAACATGATTGAACAAAAATGGAGGGTTTTTAAGCATTCAGATTTGAAGATCTTGAAAGCATCTGTGTATTTAGAGATCTGAATCTAGACTTGAAACTTTGCATTAATGGAAGATTTTAGCATTTTGGACTCTATCTATAATTCTAACCCTCATTAAATCCATTTTCCATTTGGTGCTAACAACCTGAATTTGAAACCCTAAATTCAAGGTTAAGATTTGAGTAAAAAGTGGCCCTTTTTTTAGCCTAAGCATAAAACAATTCTGACATACCAATCCCAAATTTTGTATCAAACTAAACATACCAATTCAATTATTAGTTATACCTAGGGCTGCAAACAAACACGAACCGAAGCTTGTTCATGTTCGTTCGTTTAACTTAACCGAACAAACGACCGAATACAAACGGTAAACGAACGAAAATCTTTATGTTCGTGTTCGTTCGTTTAGAAATCAGGTGTGTTCGTGTTCGTTTATGTTCGTTCGTTAACATGCTAAACGAACATAAATAAATAATATTTGAATTCAAAGTAAATAAACAAAAGATTATATATTAAATTTAATATACAAACGTAAACGAATGGTAAATGAACGAACGCTCATAAACATAAATGAACGAACGAGACTCTTGTTCATGTTCGTTCGTTTAACAAAACAAAAAAAAAATTGTTCATGTCTGTTCATTTATTAAATAAACGAACTTCCTGCCGAACGGTTCGCTAAACCGGTCCTAAGATTTTTGATGCCCTGTGCGAAAATAAGAAAAAATGCCCCTAAACCTATTTTTTAAGCCAATAAAACAACCAAACATGCGATTTTGTAAAGAATTTAGAACCTATTCAAGTTAAGTATCTCATCCCGATGTTGATTTTTATTAATTATAATTAAAAAAATACGATGGAGGGGACATAAAAACCAAAACCCCGAATACAAAATATAAAATGATAAAATGATAAATCCTGGATTAAGATCGTGTTGTCCTTCTTTTCCAGTTTTCCCTTTTCCAAATTAAAATTAGCAAAATAGAAACTTTATTTCAATATATGGAACTTAAAAGACAAGAAAAACTATAATTTGTTTTTAACTAAAATAGTAAATTACATCCACATTATTGTCATAGTATGCAAAAAGTAATACTTAAAAGTTACAGGTTTAACGACTAAAGACTAAACGCTTATCTGTTAGCAGCTTAATAAGTTTGATGGAACTAACAGCTTATTCATCAACTATGCATGATTGTTTCATAGTGGCTTAATGATACAGAAAATGATTTATCCAGTAAGCTTCTTGGGGAACTTTATATAAAAAGCCAATTTTTTTTCCAAACATGTCCCTTTCAACTAAAAAAACGTTCCTTAGAACTGCGAAAAACTCTCCCAAACAAAAACTTTTCCAACTTAAAACAGATTAATTCATATAGACAACTTTATTCATACAGACAAAAACTTTTCCAACTTTCCAGCGATGTGTATTCAATATTCATCACTACTAGGCCTTGGACCTGTTTTTATAATTAAAGTTCAGTTGTCCAATTCTCAAATTATTAAACTCAAAACTAATAATAAATGACAATTTGATGCCATGTGCGGCCGCACGGGTTGCACGTGGCCAGGGCCTAGTTATACCATAATAAATATAGAAACTTGACATGTATAAGAATGACAATGAATCGGGTTCAGGTATCCCGTCCCTGAAGTATATAACCAAAACCATCCTCAAACCCGGCTTGAAAATTTTGATTTTTAATTTTCATCATCGTTTTTCTCTCCCATCCCAAGACAGGTATAAGGTATTGAAATTCACGTCATAGTACCATGGATCAAACTAATTTGTTTGATTATTACCTTCTACATTTATTACAACTTATTATGATTGGGAATGATAGGTCTAGAAAAAAAAATTCACTTTTTACATAAAGCTCTCACAAAGGCTTACTGAATAAGTTTTTTTTTTATCAAAGCTGACCGAATAAGCCACGAAACATACCCTTGTTCGGTTCATTTTCCATTAAAACCTATATGGATAAAGCTGTCTGTATGATACCAGATAAGTTATTGTTCGATTATTGTGTTGAATAAACAGTTTAAATGTCAAAAATGACCATTTTATTCACTGTCTATATTTTAAACAGTTCAGAATGGTTAAAAATTTCAAGTGAAACAACTGAAATACCAGATCTTGCACAAAAATTTTCATCCACTGATTAGTACTAGAACCATATACACAAACATTTCATCAAACACCTTGTATGCATAAAAATTTCATCCATAGATCCTGTTGTTCTTGCATAAGAATAAGAATTCGGAAGCTTCAACTTTAAATCTGATAACGGGATTTACATTGGAGATCTAAAGCTTCAACTTTATATTTGATTATCTAAAGCTTCGACTAAACTTGGAGATCAAAACCTTTGACAGAACTCAAAAATATAAAGCTTTTAACAGCACTCAGAGATTTAAAGCGAGATGAGAAGAAGGTCGAGGAAACCAAACAATCAAAACCTGATTTTGATGTTGATTTCAACCAAAATTGAGATTCAAGTGATGGCCACTAAGAAGGAAAAAAGAAACCTAACTTCTACAGTAGATGGAAAATCGAGATTCAAGTGATCATCACTGAGGAGTCTTCACCGTGGAGAAGGCAGCGACGGTGGATGGTTTCCAGAGAGAGTCTTTGAAGTGGGGCGGACGTGTAGAAGGAATGGTGATGAAGATGGCTCTGCACAGGAACGAAGATGAACAAAAATGTAAAGCTCGTGATGGGGATTTTCTCTTATGTTCGGTGTCTTGCAAGATGGAAAGGATAGAAGGGGAATAAATGGATTAATAACTGGCTCATTACAAAGGACATTAACTATTTCAGCTGCCTGGTTCAGCCATGGACTAAGCAAATAAGCCAATACCAAACAACTGGATATGGCTGCACGAATAACCCATATCTATTATACAGCTCATTAAGCTACTACCAAACAATCCTTTAACGACACTCATCTTATTGAAACAGTCATACATAAACGTGTGACGGTCCTTATTAAATACTAGTTGTGTACCCGCGCAATGCGGCGGGRRCCRTGAATTTTAACAATTTTGAAGTTTCACTGGTTTTATTATAGAAGATTTAACGTCGATATAAGTTACACTTAGTCGTTACATATTACACCAAAAATGATATGTATCACGACTTTCTTTTTCGGAAAGAGGATAACACCCCTGACAAAAATAAACGGGCAAAAGGTACACTTAATTAACGTGAGACTTCCACCCGAAAGCAAAATCACCTGGGGTATTGAGACAAGCCCCAATATCCAGATGACGAGCACTAATCAAACACATATGGTTGGAGCAAACGTCGTATCACGTAACTAAGGGGCCGCTTACCTCAACACTTACCAGGTAAACACTTAACGGTAAATTCAACGTTATCGCTTATTTACTTAGTAAGATTTTATCGCTTAAGGCCATAGTGAGGCAGCTCATGAGCATATGCTGATGCAAGAATCGTATCCCCAACAATGCTTGCAGATACAATTTGTGCAATGATTAAGGAAAACTTTTTGATGTAAATTATAAGCAATAGCTATAGGTAGCCCCACAACAAAGTATTACAAAGATTTTCATCCAAACTATGGAAGTTCTCTAATAGCTTKTCTATTTTGAGGCAAAAGATCATCATGAAAGTYTTCATTTGACTYGAATACRTATCATYCATTTYTGTGTAATGACAGACAATAGATTTAGTTTGTCTAGATCCAACTTTCATAATCTTGACATGTTCAAATCCTCGATTTACAATGAATGGATTCCAATAAATATAAAAAAACCCATCATATTCTATACATATTAGAGACCATCGATCATTTTAGAATGTCCTTCCAACTAACCCTCAAAAGGCTCTCAATCGTGTACAACAAGATTATGGACAATCGGACACTTACACCAGTGACTTACAAGTTGTCATGAGCAAGAAAATGCACCTTAGCAAGCTTCCAGAACCAAGATCTGGTTGAATCCCAAAAGGGGATGAATGCTCATTTCCGCTGAGGTTTCCCCGTTGCCAGGTTGAAGTGCTAACTCAAAGGTTACTGGCCTCAGTTTCTGTTGGAGTTAAGAACATCAATAATTATGACAGAACCATGATAGCAGAATCAAAGGCTTTATACGAAAATAAACTCTAATATTCCCTGTTCAAACAAGAAAATTTGATTTAGCAACGATACTCATAAAATCCRTAAGCATTATATAATAGCTTTCAAATCTTGCACTTCATTATATAGCTTCCAGTTTTCTGTTAGGACTATGTGGTAATTGACAAACATGTCCAACTGTTGCTGAAAATATACGGATCCATATTTTTCCACCACGATGTGGAAGAAATATAATCATACCACTTACCTTTTCCTTTGCTTATCGCTATCTTTCCCGATTCCCAAATCACGAGCCATTTGGGCAGCCAGTTTTCCTGTACGGATTCATTCAAAACGCAAAGTTACGCTGAAGCTATTTCACGTTGAAATTTTAAATAGATTGAAACATTAACCTACCAAGCGATATCCATACATCGAAGTTGGGTAAATCGAGAATTAAACAAGAACCCATTAAAATTTTAAATATATTTATGCGTAGAGAAATTTGAATCAAGATAATAGATAAGGTAATTTGAATCAAGGCTCTGGACATCATCTATTGGACATCAAGATAATAGGTAAGGTAATTTGAATCAAGGCTCTGGACATCATCTATTGGACATCACCTAATTTACATTGTGGCGAATGTCATGTTTATAAGAGCTATAACTAAAGCCGGTTCGAGTAGGCTGGTCAACATACAATAGGTTTGATGCCTGAATATCAACAAAACAAATAATGCTGTGTGGTAAGTCATAATATAAACATACGCAGAATGAACAATGCAAAAACACCAAGTTCAACACCTTATAGCAACATCGACTCTAGAACATGGAAAACCAACATTTAAAACATCCATAGGAAGGAATTGGCTGGAGAAATCTTTGTATGTGGCTCTTGATACGAGATTAAATAAAAAGAAGCTCATGAATCATTACCAAGCATTATGATGATGCAATGGTATGATTGTTGAGCATGCATCTTCTATTGACAATATGCAGCAAGTGAAGATTAAATATCAAGAAAACCTTAATTTCTCACCTTTTTTAGCATTGCAATGAAATGACCCTGAACAAACTTATATGAGCTGTAAGAGCTCCTCAGAAAATTACAATGAAAAAACTAAAGATTCATTTCCCTCTTACATCACTCCAGAAAACAGAAAATGGAGATCCCTTTTTTCTCCTTAACAACTATGTAAATCTACAACTAATCTACAACGGGATCTCTACAGGCAGGTGATATTACAAAGGCTTTTTGCTCTATCATGACAATAAGCCTAACTGATGAATAAAACAAAAATATGTATGTGTGATCCATAACCTAGCACACCATGTCTCCATTTCCAAATAGAAAACTTATAACACGGAATGAATGAACAAAATGTCTCTCTAATATTCCAAGTCTGGCATTGTTTTCAATACAATTCTGTTATAGTCACTTCTAGCTTCTAAGTTTGAGATCMCGTTACCAAAAGTAATAATAAACCTAGGTTCATAATCAGCAAGATGTTCGACATACAAAGTACAAACATCTAAAAAAAACTTCAGTCAAGCATAATCACGAATTCATGAAAATTGAAAAAGAACTCTAAAAAAAAGAAGTAAGTTAATACCGAGGAGCATGAGAATGTTCAAACTGGTAATAACCAGTGTGATGACCTAAATCATCAACAGATATGTCATTTGGATCGACTAAATTGGGGAACTTAAAACGCTTCTCAACTATCTTATTCTGCTGAAAACTCGACGATCGCAACCCATCATCGTCCTCAACGATGTTGATCGAGCGTTCTGGGAACAAATTAAAGTCCCTGATCATCTTCTTGGCTAGAGTCGATGGAAAGCTAGTGAAGTGCAGGGTTTGATGATGGAAAGGGAAAGGAGCGAAGAAGAAGGGAGTGCGTGTTACTTGTGTCTTGTGCGGAAGAAACGGTGAGGCGTTGCTTTTCTTCATAAGAAACTGTGGACCATCAAAAATGAATCAAGAGGGTACCTGAATCAAAGAAGAGCCTGGAATCGAAAAACCCTAAATTAAAAATGGGCCTCAACGAGAGAGAAAGCAGAAATCGATCACAGAAAAGAGGATCGAGGATGGGAAGAGGAGAGCGTGCGATGGAAAAGTTACCTTGGGAAGAGGAGAGCGTGCGATGTCACACTGGGAGTATGAGTTGAGAGGATGAAGAGGCGGGAGGATGAATAGACACGCATGAGAATTGCCTTGGGCAGAGTTGTTTTGGGAAAAGGAGAGCGATGTAGTTTGGAGTGGGTATTAAAGGGTAGTAAAGATAAAAAAGGTATTTTGGGTATTTATAAATTTAAGACTTTAAATCAAAATGCCTAATAAAGTAGTATAGATAAATGTGACAGAAAGTTTTATGTAAAAGATACAAAGTTATTTACAAACCTATCACAACCAATTATAAAAGGTAGATTACATTAACCAAAATGTGAATAAAATACATTATGATACCCTATTTCTAAACAAATCCAGAATCAGCCACAAGTCCCTTCTCTCCATTCAAAAAACCATTCTGCAAAATGCAAGACACATCAAACAGCAATAAACAGTATATTCAAACCTGATAAAAACCTGCCTACCTACATAAACCTTTAGAACACCATACATAACCTTCACCTGGTTCTTCAATATTTATACCAATATATATTATATCAAAGGATATACACCGAATTCTTTAATAACAAATCCAATCAAGAACATTCAATAAAGAATCCGATGTATACTCCTTTGGTATAGTATCCATTAAAGCATCATGTTGGATGGAATTGAATCAGAAACTCATAAAAAGTAGCTTCTGAATCCAACTGGAACAAGGTATGTGGGTATAAACTGGGTTCAAGGAACAGAAACTCATAAAAAGTGAAGATAGTATGTGGGTAGATGTGTCAGATCAAATGTATACATCAAGATTAATCAGACAGGGATAACTGTTAACATATATGATATCATCATACACAACCCACATTAAATAAATCATTAAAAACTTCACAAAACATCCAAAATTTGCGACAAAAAACGGAATTCAAAATAGCCTCAGACCGTCCTAGTTCATGATTTTCAACAAATGCAAGCATAAAAGCTTGCTTTTTCAGTCAACCATATTAAAAAGATATCATCACCGGCCAGCAAATTGGAAATTAAAGAAAACCAATAATACAATGATGAAAGAAATAGAGCAAGACGTGAGTGTGTGTATGTGTCGATATAGATACATGTGTGTAAGTATATATGGAAATGGTTTTGAAAAATTGAAAGAGAAAAGGCATCAGATCTTCCTATTCAGAGTTAGAATCAAAATACCCACACAAAGCGAGCATTCAACTCGATAATAAACACATCATTTGGCCTTCTTTCATCAAATTTCGATCAATAAAAAGCTTGTTAAACAAGGAAAACATAGAAACACTTTGCAGATTCTTCACTGCCGAAAGCAAGTGAATCGAAGAAAGATTGACGAAACAAAAACAAGGGGTCTGAAGGAATTTCAGAAGGAGACGGCGGTAGATTGATTAGGGTTTGGAAGGATGAGATTAGAAGAGGAGGTGAGTGGTCGTTTTATAGGGCCAGCTTCGTCCGCAAGGGTTCGATTCGATGTAACGATGATGGGTCATGGCCTCATGTGTGTGCAAAGGTCAATACTGGATCTAAAGATGGAGTAATTGGGCCAAGCCCACTCCAATTTGGGCTTTAAATTAGATTTTTGTTGGGTTGACCGTCTAAACTCTAGTCTAAAGTAAAAAAATAAAATTTTATGAGACAATTAAAAATTAATTTTTTTAAAAGGAATTATATTTTGCTCTAAAAGGTTTTTTAATCTCAGAGATTTCAATATATTTATTATTTCAATCTACTTTTTATAAAGAATTTATATAAAATAATAATAATTTAATCCTACTTAGAGAACAAAAATCTGTTTTCTCTATTTTAGAAAATCTGTTATAGATGCTCTAGTACCTACCATTTGTGGGTTTCTACAGTGCAATATGTTGTAAAATTTAAGATATTATCTAGCATTTGATAAAAACTCTTAAAAACCATTTTTTATGCATGAAGTACTGTTTATTGATGTATATTACTTAAAATTTAATATTACAAATAAACTTTGCGTAAGTACAACTTATTAAAGCTTCATGTTTGAATTCGTGTAACTAACTACAGATAAACATAGTCAAATACAAGATACACATTTCATTTTAAATATAAAAAATCTAAAATATAATTATGATAATCATTGAGTT